GTAATCGACTGTACAACACTTTCACGACAATAGTTCTCCTGTGTCTAGGTATACTTTGAGTGAAATTGTTCCTATTTGATTAATGTTTGGCTTGAATTGATGATTCAATCACAAAAGTAAGTTCAACCATTTTCCCTTGGAAAATCCCTTGTTTACGGAACTTGATTCGACCTCTACGACGATTCTGTGTTGGATACAGTACTTTGGGACATATTGAATTATTCCCTACTGCATTGTACACAATATCGATATCTCACTTGTATAGGGTCATTCCCTTTTTGTGTGGATGTAGTTTGTCCGACAGACTTGCGTCCGGCATACTTGTGGCGAATCCCGACATCACGATCAAAGTACGATCGTACGTGTTGAAAACTTTGTACTTGAATAGTTTCTTTTCGGAACGTAAAAACTCATATTTCGTCATATCCCAACATGGATCATCGCTTTTCTCACTGCATGCTTTTTACTTGAATTGATAACGATCAACTTGAAGAAACTAGTCAACTATAGGCTTATAGTCTATATTCATTTATTTCTGTCAAATGGCGCTACCATCTTTGAAGCTCCAATGCAAAGAGAATAAGTATTCAACAAATACCATAGTAGAAACGATTGAATTGAAGTCTTGAAGTGTAACCCGTAGGAAGCATTTGTACTTTCAATACTAGGCAAGCAGCAGATCGCAAAAATGCGGCTGGTAAAACTGATAATAGGACATAGCGTTATTGTCATGTTATGTATAATCCTGTTACACGATCAACAGGATGAATGAATCGATTGACAATTTATTGCAGATTGATTATACGCTGCTTTTGGAGCTCGCATCTTTGCATTGATGACTTGGAGGACATATCCCATCATCTCTGCCTTGTCCTTGTCACTGGCATAGTTGACTACTCGCATCAAGTCGCAGAGCTCAGAGACTTTCTGGCCAACTTTTGGGTTACGAACTAAGGAATTGGAGCCCACTGTTGCCTTGGAATGCCAGTTCTGGTAATCGATACTCTTGTCAATCGGGGGTGCTGGAGCTACGTCCCCCACAAGAAACACCGGCCTGCACACGCTCACCGTGTGCTGGCCTCAAGACCCGAGCAGGGATGATCTATGCAAAAATGTTCGGGATAGGAAATTCTAGCTAAATGTTTTTCGCTCCTCGAGACAGATAACGTTTTGTTAAGCAAATGTCGTTTTATTTAGGACAAAAGTGGTGGTGTCGGTCAATATCATTTTGTGGCAGTGAATTGATGGGTGAGAATTGTCGTCTTGGAGCAAGATCAATTCAGAACGAAAGCTCATCGATTTTGTTGGAGAAGAAAGGAGAGTGTTTGTTTGCGAAGATGGATGAATCAACATTAACGAAAAATGAGATGAAGATGTTACCTAAAATGGAGGTTGGTATCATGTTGTTTTTGCGAGACTGCAGATTTTTGCTGTTCGTGGGTTGCGACAAAAAGCAAAACATTTTATTTAATGTGTTGTCTATACTTAGGATCGACCGGATCGATTAAAAAAAAATATTTAGCTTGATGGATCAAACAGTCCGTCAACAAGCAGAGTTGTGGGAGGGAGCTGGCTATGACTGTATTTCCAGTTCCAGTTCTAGTTCCCAAATCTTGTTTGCAGTATTTTGTAGCCATAGTTCATCCACTATTTTCGAGGAAGGAAATATGCTAAAGTCCATTGTGACTTTTGCATGTTTCCCACAAGGAACGACAAGCAAAACAAGCTCTACCCCTTTGCTATCCTTGTACCGTACAATTCTCCTCGTCTGAAGGGCCACTTATGGTGACAAATATTATGATCATGTTCAAATAGTTCCACTATGAATATCTTGTGTCTCCTGCTTTTTGAAGATTCTTCAAAGTCTAAGACTCCTTTTGTTGTCTGCCCATCTGTACTCGTATGACGGCACTATCTAGGCGCGAATTTGGTTGGGTGCTGCAACTGTGGTGCCGTCCTTGCAATAAATGACATATACACTTTTGCGTGTAGAAGAAAAGCCATTCTCTCTGCGGGATAGGTCCACCCAGCCAAATTTCCCCTTATACTTTCCTTTGTTGATAGCAATCTCAGCACCCCTCTTCTTGGTGCCAAGATCCATACTGTTGCTGCTGTTGCTGTGATTTGTCATGATGATGTTGAGGTTTTGTTGTTGTTTTTAATCTCTTGATTATGAGAAGGCGCATTTAATTTACCAGTTACAATCACGAACTGTGCATCTGTGTCAATGGATCTTGTATCGTTCATCGTTCCGTTTGATTCTCACAATGACACTTTGTAGATGGTGCTATCCATTCCCACCATTCCCAACTTTCTTTGAGCAAGTTGATTGCAAATTGAAATCATGTCAATCACTTTTTTTTAAAAGTAAATGAACGTTTCAGGTATTTTATTTAAATTGGTATTAATATGAAATGCATTTATTAATCAATGAAGGATTAACAGAAACTGGCGAGAGTGCACCATCACAGTTTTTCTTAAATTTACAAATTAAAAAAAGGAAATCTGGACACAATGGCTTGGACTGAGGAGAAATGGGAACAGAGTGAAGCGAAGCGTGCTCTTGAAAGCGATCTAACATTGGGATACTGTCCCATCAATCCCAGGAGGATGTCCGTTAAGGATACTTGGGACCAGCTCTATGATCCTCACAAGGAATGTGATGGCATGGCTTTCAGTTTCTTTCGCAAACAATTGACTGTCCTTCGCAAAAAATGGAAAGATATAAAGAAAGCTGAATAGGTGGCACAGTGGGAAACAAGCGAAGCTAAAGCGCTTCTTGAAGACGATCTGGACAACGAAATGCTCCCCGTTGATGCTGCATCCATGTCTGCTAGGGCGGCATGGGATGAAAGGTGCATTGGTGAAGTAGAGTTTGAGTAATCAAGGATATCACTATCCTCCAAGATGTCAAGGCAACTATCAAGGACGATCTTCTGGAACCAATTCTCAAACTTAAGGTCGCTTTGGGCAACAAAACCATCAAGCCAATCGACCTCCAAACAACAGGCCTCCAGGGCATTTTCAAAACCGAAACCCTCAAAACCATCATTATGCTGAATCGCATTACAATCAAGACCGAAGTCAAGCCAAAGGCTCAGTTCCTGCTGGAACGTATTACAACAATCAGGAAGCGGAATGATTTGTTCCGGTTGGAACTGGCCCCAAAGTGGGCCAAGGCAAAATGCCTTCTGCCGAAGAGCAGCATGATCAATATTTTGTACAAGGCCAATTTGTACAACCTTGTGAACAACAAGAAATGTATCCTCCTCCTGAAGACTTGTATCCTCCAGATGACTTGTATCCTCCAACGGATGATCAAAGCTATCATCCATACGATGAAGCCTATGATGAAGCTCATTGACCTTCACTCCAAAACAATACTCGTGCACAGTCTAACCATCTATTCAATCCTTTCCTTCAACCAAATCTTTCATCTTTTGCCACCGCATTGACCCCTGATCAAGGTCCAATGACGCAAGAAGAAAAACACTTTCTTTGAATGACTCTTTCATACGTGTCCCAACTCCAAAACAAACTTTGGAATCTACGGGTGAATCGATAAACAAAAAGAAACTAACTCCTATTTCTTTGATGCAATGGGGACTGATTGGAGGAAAACAGTCTGTGAAACCTCTCCGAGTGTTGTTTGATTCAGGTGGTGAAAACACAATGATCCATGCACGATGCATTCCACAAGGTGCGATGGTAAAAATTGATCCTAATGTTAAACCTTGTGCAACTGTATCTGGAAGTTGCAATGCTAACAAATCCATTGAACTTTGAGACGGGCTCTTTCCAGAGTTTGATTGACATTGGCGATTCTATGGTAAAGCAGTGACAGTTTTTTAAAGCCCCAAATTGTCCACATGATATTATCCTTGGTCGCGACTTTCTCAATGAACTTGGAATTGTAATCAATTTTCAAAACCATCAAGTCAAATGGATTGACAAAATCATTTCCATGAAGTACAAGACCCACTTTCAAAATCACACCAACTGGACTATTGCACTGGATCGCGGCTACTTGGATATTTTAGATGACGATGACATTGCAGATGATGCTTTCATCCTTGATGCAAAGTATGAAGCAACAACTGGAGCTGAAGTTGCTTCCAAGCAAGTCCACTTGACAAAACAACAACAACATCAATTGGCAACTGCATTGGAAAATACACAAGAGCTTTTTGATGGCAACCTTGGACACTACAAACACAAGAAGATCCATTTGCAAGTTGAAGACGGTGCCGTCCCAATTCATTCTAAAGCCTATTCCGTTCCTGTGAAACACCAACACGCTTTTCTCGAGGAACTTCGGCATTTGGAATCAACCAACGTACTCAAGCAATGTGGTCCAACTGAATAGGCCTCTCCTACATTCATCATTCCAAAAAAGGATGGAAGAGTACCATGGATCAGTGATCTTTGCTCCACAAGGTTCTCAAACGTAAAGTGCATCCTGTGCCATTGATTGATGAAGTTGTCTCCCATTGTGCTGGCTACAAATTCTTTACCAAACTCAATCACAATGATGTATTATTCTTTTGAGCTTGATGATGAAAGCAAGGAATTGTGCACGATTGTCACCCCATATGGAAAATATCAGTACCAACGAATGGAAATGGGATTGAAACCAGCTCCTGATGTTGCTCAATACTACATTGAAGAGACATTGCATGGTTTGAAGGAACAAGGTGTTGAAGTCTACATCGACGATGTTGGACTCTTTTCTAACTCTTATGAAGAACATATGGAATTGATCAAGACTGTTGTCAAACGACTTCAAGAGGCAGGTTTCAAGATTAATCCTTTGAAATGTGAATGGTGTGATTAAGAAACCGATTTCTTGGGCCATTGGTTGACCCCTGAAGGTGTCAAACCTTGGAAGAAAAAGGTTGATGCCATCCTCAAAATGAATGCACCTCGCAACATTACTGAACTACGAGCTTTCTTGGGTGCTGTGACCTACTATTGTCACATGTGGCCCCGACGTTCTCACCTTTTGCAGCCGTTGACAGCTCTCACTGGAACACCCACATTTCAATGGCTAGTGATATTTTAATGTGGTATCCCGATCACAACAAGCCCTTTGAGCTCTATACAGATGCTTTGGACTATCAAATGGGCGCCGTGATCATGCAAGAAAAAAAGGCAGCGGCGTACTGGAGCCGCAAACTCAATGATGCGCAAAAGAATTATTCTGTCATGGAAAAAGAAATGTTGGCTATTGTGCATTGCTTGAAAGAGTTTGGCTCAATGCTTTACGGTACGCAATTGACTATTTTTACAGATCACAAAAATCTCACCTTCCGCACGTTGAATACAAAACCAGTTTTACGCTGGCAAATGTACATGGAAGAATTTGCGCTACGTTTAACTATTTGCCTGGTAAAGATAATGTTTTTGCCAACTGTTTCTCGCATTTACCGCAAATGGAGAAACCGTCTGAGGGGAAGAGTTTGCTTTCCAAAGGTAAATTGATTGCATTTGACAAACTCAATGTCAAAACGGATCCCAAGGATGAAATGTATTCTTTTGAAGAAGAAGTTCTTCTTCCTCTGAAGCAGAATTCAATTGTACCTTTAGATGCATGTTTGCTTGTTGTCAAGATGGACATGGCGCTATCGAAAATGATGAGATGCTTGAATCGTTTCTCAATCATCCTCCATTGGAAGTTATGCCAAATCCAATCAAGATGTTGCTCTCATTCAAAAATCGCAAAACGCAGCAACTTGGGCTCAATATCCTATCATGCAAATTGACAATCGGAATATGATTTGCTACCGTGCAGATTTGAATAAACCTAACGAATGGAGAATTCACTTGACTGAAACTTTGGTTGCTCCAGTGATTGTATGGTATCATTTGGTACTTGGACATCAAGGTACTACCTCTTTGTACAATACAATTGTCTGACGGTTCTATGCTCCTGCTTTGAAAAGAAAAGTTGAATCCCTCAGATGTGAAGTTTGCCAAGTGAATAAAAATGTAAACATTCAATGCAGACATCTGCCTGAAAGACATGCAGACTTGGTCCCGTGGTTTTCTGTGGCCATGGATTTCTTGGAAAATCAAGGTCAACGGTATAGACATTGAATTCAATGTGCTCACTTGTATTGATCCCATTGTTGGATTTTGGTTCTGGCGGACATCAGACAAGCGACAGGCTTGTCGTTGTCCAAACCAATTGACAACTTTGTTGCCCATCAAGCCATCATTGCCAACCAGCCGTGCCAACATGCAACCCATCAAGTTGTCATGCAGAGGCACTGACCATAGCAATCTCTGATCCGTCTAATATGAAATAATCATCTCTACAGGAAATAACTATTCTAAAAGACTTGTTATCTACATGGAATGGGCAAAGCAAAAGCCTTGCACAAAAACTCAAATTTCCCAAACCTATACTGGATGTTTGCAATCCAGAAAGGCTGGTACAAAACCCACGTACCGAACTCCCGCAGGATTCAGTATGGGATTTTCTTGGCGCTCAGACGTTTGATGGTCCAAGCGCACAATTTCATGTTTTCGGATTCCCTGCAAAACCGACTCATAGGAATCCCCCGAATAAACGGACCAAACGGACATTTGTCCGTCTGTCCGATCGGACATGTCAAACTGCTTCCATCAAGGAGATTCTCCAAGAGAGCAATGGTCTCCAAGAGAGCAATTTCAACACAGTGCGAATGCTCAAGGATTCTACTGCCAAATCAAAAATGGCACCACCGCGTACTTTGCAACAGCTACAAATGCGCCCCCACCTATCAGTCTGCATTATTGATATCTATTGCAGTGGCAGAGCATTATTGATTTACTTTATTTGTTTGATTAGCGAAGATTTTTGAGATTTCCTTCTTGGGTGATGTCGTGGTTTCTCTGCCGCTCTGTTGGGCCCTGTGGCCGCCGTTGAGACAGCTATCCATTCAACAATACACCAAAGTCTCCCTCAGATCCCTAAGGTTTGGATTTTTTGGGACCGAGACAATGATTTGGCCTACATCAAGTATCATGAGGCCAAAACGGAATTAGAAAAGGGGTAAGTTTGTTGAAAATTCTGGAATTGTCGAATTCTTGGCCTAATTTCCCCAAACTTCCTTAGTCTTACACTTATTTGTCATCCATGGGTATATCTAACAAGGTTTGCGAGCTTGGAATTGATGCGATTGAAGAAAGAAGAACAGATGTGGCAAAAGGACTTGCTTCGATACCCGCCAAAAACCATGCACTCTGAAGGGGCACCACTATGGAATCCCCATCAAGCTAATAAGCTACTGCGCCACAAGTCCGATGTTGGAGAATTGAGGGAAAAGAAAGAGCACATGACGCCAAAGAAGCGACAAGAAACGAATACAAAGAGTTCCCTCTAAAGATATTTTGTCAACATGTTTACCAGGAAGTTCGCAGTTACAAATTCTGCAACCATTTGCATGACAGAAGAGAAGCTAAGAAAATTATCCACATCTACAAACCAGCTGTGGGTGCGGAAAACGGCACATTGACGGATCGTTGGAACGAGCTGGGCATACATGAGCAGGAAGGAGATGGACATGATGATGATGAGAAGGTGTAACAGGAAATGAATGTGGACGAGGAGCGAACAACAGAACAAACAGACAACCGAACGCGCCACCAAATTGCCAAAAGCAGTCGTCCAAGTAGGGCACCAGCCGTGCGTTTCTTCTTTTTGGATTTGATCTTCTGGTGGAGTTGATTCTTCAATTCTTTGTCCTGTGCTTGTTGAGCCTTGCGTTGCATGTAGGAAGTGAGGCTGGCAACGGAATGGCTGTTGATGGTACCGTTGATCTCCAGGAAGGCGTCCTTCCAAGGCTTGGGGTGAGCATTGAAGAAAACTCTCTTGAATTCTGCTTTGTCAAGAGGGTCAAGAGTTTCAGACATGTAAGGGATTGCAGAGTTTACCTTCTTCATGTACATTTGATTGTCCATGATTGTCGCCAATGTCGCCAATCTTGGCTTTCTCCAGGTACGGAGCTGATTTAAAACTGCAGCCGCGTCGTCTTCAGTACATTTGGTCAGGATCCAGTCGCGGACTTTTTTTTTTCCAGTTCTCAATGGATTCCTCGTCCATGTCCATGTAGTTTGGGAGCGCTTCCCAAACTTGTCGTTTGAGAGGAGGGAGAGCCTTTGACCAAAACTTGTTGAGGGCTCTACCGAGGAGCTCGTGAGAGTCACATCATCGAGGATTGTCTGTGCAAAGTCCACACACTTGTGTAGGGACATCTGGGTGATGTCCAACTTCTTGAGGTAGACGGAAAAAGTTGAATGGTCGACATCCACCTTGACTCTGAGGTTTTCTCCTTCCATGGGTTCGTATTGCATAGGGAAAACGTGATAGTCGGACATGATGTTGTGCTTGAAATTGAATTGGACTTTTTGATCAAAAATACCGTGTCCCACAAAAGGCTGAAGACTAACTTAGGCACAGTACCGATTGAAAGATTGCTAAAGAGATATTATGAGCTTAATGGAGAACTACTTCCCTGGGCAGAACGCGATAGCCATACTGACATCAGAAGAGAAGGTGTGTACTGGATTCACACAACTTCCAAAATGAGCACTTTGAGGGAATTGAGGAGAAGCGACCAGAAAGCAGTTTTCACTCATATATGTCAAATATTTGTTAAATGAACAATCTTCTTCTATATTTTTTGAAAAATGTCTCATTTTACATAATGAAAGACAAAATGGAGAAATAGCAACAAAGTCATTTCTCGAGAAAGAACCACGACGAATTTGGAAGTCCTCACTCTGCCGGGTGTTCCAGATGATCCGAAAATCAAGGTGAGGAAATGCAAACTGGGAAGACAATGAAGCAGCACTTGCAAATGCCCTATTTCTTCCAATTTGATGGCAATTCTAGGTATTGTAGAAGAAAGAAAGTACATAAAAACGATAATGTCACTTAACAGTCTGTCCGCCACTCAGCCCTACAAAAAAGTGGGGAGGCCAGAAGTGTACCTTAGTCGATATCAGTAGAATAAAAATGTAACCCATATAAAACTTCTAGCTTACATCCTTAGCTTCAATCCTGTCATAGCCGCATAAAAAAGAACACTTTGGTCATGAGTTATAGCTTTCTAAGCTCCAGGGTGCTTTGAGGGAGATTATCGTTTGTACTGCACGCATGGCGGACACTCCCTCCGACACGACCGGGGAGCGGACTGACACAAAAATAAAAAAAATACTTATCATCATCGATCTTGTGTTCATTCTACTGATATCGAATAAGGTACACGTGTACAGTTCTGGCCTCCCCAAATCATGCACTTTTTTGTAGGGCTGCGTGGCGGACAGACCGTTAAAGTAGAAGTAGGGATATTCTCTTTTTCTACTTCTGTCAGAGGCTCAATTTTTTTTCATCACCATTCTGTGGTTTAGACAGTAGAAAAAAATATATCGCTAGCACCCCTTGATATCCAAATTTGAAATGTGTGACTGGCTGTTGGCTGATTGTTGTGTTTTATTTGACGTTGTTCTTCATTGATGGCCTTGTGAGTGGAATTTTTGATTATTTTCCCAAATCTCTGCTCTGTTGGATAAAAGTATTCAAGAAGCCATCAATTCTTGCCCAAATGTAGAACCAAATCGATTGCTAGCGCCACCGAATATTTGTATTGAACCCCTTATTTGGTTGTTCTCTTCAATTTGACGTTGTTTTTGATTGATGGCCATGTGACTGGAATTTCCAACGATTTTTCCAAATCTCCATGCTGTTGTATAAATGTATTCGATAAAAGTATTCGACAAACCATCGATTCTTGCCCAACTGTAGAAACAAATAGATCGCTAGTATTACCTAATATAGTTTGTGGAGTCCTTGGCTGGTAGTTGTCTTCGATTCTAACCCTACCAACAAAGAAATCAAACAATATCTCAATGAGAGCATTTGTCAATTGTAACTTTTGAAACAATTGGGATACTCACATCTATTTGATTTTCAACTGGGAAAAGACCTCATTGTATGGCAGGCTTTGTATGGGTAACAAGAGCTCCAACAAAATTCATGGATGCGGTGAAGTGAAATCTGGGAAATTATCCGTCTAGTACCTGACTCTACAGGATGGTACGGTCAGAGATGATCCGCAAATGATCCGCAAATGATCCGTCAAACTCACGTACATGAAAATGTACCCAAATGTTCCGTCAGATGATCCGTCATACGGATCATTTTTATATATCCAGCCAAGTGGAGCTACAAGTAAATCGCCGGCACACCCACGCCTGCAGGCATAGTTCCCTGACCCTCATCCATGGTGTATGTTGAAAAAGTGTGTAATTCAAAAAGTCCAAAACCACATTAACCTCTACTGTACTTCAGGATTACTTTAAGCAGAAGTTGGCAGCTGCTGAATCAAAGTTCCAAAATATGAAGACAAAACAAAAGAGCTGCCAGTTCTAGATATTGCAAGCATGCTTGTTTTTCAACTCCCTCTCCGACTCTGTTCTACAACCTGCAAGAATTGGCTAGTAGCCACCTGTTGCAAGTTTTTTCACGCGATGGATCATGCAAGCCGGCCTGATCATTGTTGGATATTGTGAAAAATGACGTTGGCTCTACGATCTGGGCATGATGACTGCAGGTGTGGGTGTGCCGGCGATTTACTTGTAGCTCCACTTGGCTGGTTAATGAGTACTTTTACTATATGATTTTGCACTTTTTCTTAGGTTCATATACCTTGATGGGATTCTCTTCTCCAAAGTGGTCCACCCAATACATGTAGATCAGCCGGGGCTCCTTCTGTCTCATCTGATTTGTCACTGAGATGTAGGTCCGCTCATGCCTGGCAAAGAATACACACCATTCCTTATCATTCAACTTCAACTTCTTGGGTTTTGTTGTCTTTTTTGTATTTGTGTTAGATTCAAACATTCAAAATGCCAAGAGACGAATTCAAAAAGTTTTACTTACAAATAACGTTTGAAAAAGTTGAGACAAGCGTCCAAAATGTGGACAAGCGTCGGAAAAGCGTCAAAAAAAGCGGACAAGCGTCGGGACAAGCATAAAAAAAGCGGACATGTAAAAAAAGTGTGGATAATCTGGTATGTACACACGTAACGTAAAGACCAACACAATGCATTATATATTATCTATACACGAAGAAGAAACAAAGTACAGACGTACCAATTACTTAGGCAAAGGGATTTGTTTTCAATCCATATGACCCTTGTGTTGCTGACAAAGTTGTTGGTGAAAAACAGCAAACTATCAGGTTTCATGTTGACGGTCTTTTATCAAATCACATGGACCCAAAAGTGAATGACGAATTTGCTGAGTGGTTGCACATGATTTGATCAAGGCATTTACAATCATCAGAGGAAAGATACACAGATATCTTGGAATGACTTTGGATTTCTTGGTGAAAGGAAAACTCAAGATCCGCATGGACGACTATGTTAAGAACATGTTGGAAAATTTTCCTATCAAGTTCAACAAGGATTCAAAGCAGGAAACACAGGCTGGTAACAATTTACTCGAAGCTGAGAAAGGGAAGTTACTCAATGCTGAGTACCGTCAAATCTTTCATACTACTGTTGGAAGGGGACTTTATGTATCTAAGAGAGCTTGTTTGGATAGCCCTCCAACGATTTCTATTCTTGACTCAAGAGTTTGAGAGCCTACAGAGTCTGATTGGAAGAAGTGTGTTTGCATGATGCGATATTTGTTTTGTACATTGTTGTATCTCATGACATTTTCTACAGAATCACTACGAGTCATGAAATGGATGATCGGCGCATCGTTTGCGGTGCATCCAGATTTCAAGAGCCATACTGGCGGCACTCTGTCCTTTGGACAAGGTGCAGCTCAAGTGATGCCAAAGAAGCCAAAACTAAACAGCAGAAGCAGTATGGAAGCGGAACTGGTTGCTGTTGACGATGTTGTCACGATGATACTATGGACAAAGTTGTTCATGAAGTGGCAAGGGTATCCGATTGAGAAGAATATCTTGTATCAGGATAACACAAGCGCGATTCTACTGGAAGAGAATGGTTGTAAGAGCGCAGGCAAAAGAAGCTGAGCTATCAATATTCAATATTTCTTTTTCACAGATCAAGTTGAGAAAGGAAATGTTAAGGTCGAATACTGTCCAACTGACAATATGATTGCGGATTTCATGACTAAGCCATTGCAAGGTGAGAAGTTTTGAAAGTTCAGGGATCTGATTCTTGGTCCACAGGAATAGGTCAGTCAGGTATGTATATGTTCAAAATGAAAATACAAAACAAAAATAAACAGTGAATGAGAGCATATCCCATTGCTGTCAATGGTGATTGTCACAATGACAGGAGTGTGTTGGGATATGACGAAATATGAGTTTTTACGTTCCAAAAAGAAACTATTCAAGTAAAAGTCTTTGACACGTACGATTGGTCTTTGATCTTGATGCCGGGATTTGACGCAAGTATGCCTGACAATCTACATCCACACAAAAAGGGAATGAACCTATACAAGTGAGATATCAGTGTTGTGTACAATGCAGTAGGGAATAATACAAGATGTCCCAAAGTACTGCATTCAACACAGAATTGTCATAGAGGTCGAATCAAATTTTCCAAGGGAAAATTGTTGAACTTACTTTTGTGATTGAATCATCAATTCAAGCCAACTATTAATCAAATAGGAACAATTTCACTCAAAATATACCTAGACACAGGAGAACTATTGTTGTGAAAGTGTTGTACAGTCGATTACAAATTTAGATTGCAGAGAGTTTGTTCTGAGCGCTAAAGGCACTCACAATAGAGCACATTTTGCTTTATTCTAACATTCAATCACAAAAGGCAACAAAACAAAAATACGTCAAGAACAGCACTGCCTTATCTACAAAGGAGTGAGTGATTCGTTGGCGATGGGACGTTCTTCATCCGGTGGTTGAAGAGGACGTGTGACTCCTCAGAAAGTCAAGAGCAATTCGAGTTCACAGTTGTGAAACATCTGATTTCAACAAAAGATGAAAATGATGGAAAGGGAAGATCGTCGTATGAAGATGCCGAAGAAAGATGATTGACTATATCCAAGCTTCTGGAATGAAGACATGGTGAAATCAATTCAAGATGGAAAGTCGATCGACTTCAATGCAATCGCTTCAAGATTGAACGCTCCAACTCAAACTGAAGCTGATGCAAGAGAAACAGAGATGGCCCAAAACAAGATTCTCTATTCTGCTAAGCTCGACGAGAACATGCGAAGATCAGCCTACTTCGAGACAAACAAGCAACTGCCAAATCAAACATCATGCTGAAGTGTGTGACGAAGACAATGGATATCAAGCTTCGAGGTGAAGCCGATTTCATGACTACTCTTGAAGATCCAATCAAACTCTTGAAAAATGTATTGAACAATTCATGAAGAAGAGTGCTGATGCTGAGTATGATTTCTTGGATTTCTGGGAAGCAAATCAAAAGTTCTTTGGTATGAAGCAAGGAACAACAGAAAACTTGATGCATTTCAAGGAACGATTCTTGAGACAGGCTGAAATCCTGCAAGATCTATATGGCGTGGCCTGGTTCCAAGATTTTGCAGTCAAGACAAAGGCCTATGCTGCTATTGCTAGCAACGATACTGCTGCTCAAAACAAGTTCAAGGATGATATCTTTGCAGCCATTCTTGCAACAGGATTTCTGTGAAACTGTGATAAAACAAGAACAGCTCCTCTGATGCTGGATCTTCAGACAAACTATTGCAGAGAAGTGGATTATTATCCAAAGATGGTCAGCAAAGCACAAGATCTGTTGAAGATTCACATGGAGGTGAATAAAAATCCGGGAGTGAACCTGTACCAAGGAAAAGACCAACCTAATACTGGTAAAGGTAAAGGAAAAGGAAAGGGGAAACCAAAGGATGGAAAGAAGGCAGCATGATATGTGTGTGGCAACGAAGACCATATGTCTCAAAAATGCCCAGACAGACAGTTACCAAAGATCCAATGGAAGAATCAGGATCAATATGTTGACTATGGGGAAAAGCTCAATCTGAATCAGATTGCAGCAACTGTCCCAGCTACTGTTCCAGCTATAGTTCCTGGAGCTTCAGCGTCCACAAGTGGAGCATCAAGTGTTGCGGGAAGCGTTAACACACCTTTGCGACTTGCTGGTACTACAGGTAATCAAATGATGCAAGTTCCTTTGGGAATGCAGCTCATGCAGATTCCAACTCAAGGTGGCGGCACTGTTACTGTCCCTTATTCTATGAATGCTAACGGTGAGATTGCGTTCAGTGGAATGCAACTCAGCCGACAAGGCTTCAGTGGTGCTCAAGTGCGCCAAGGATTCGATGCAACTCAAGCTCAAACTCCGCAAGCTGTGAAAACTGGATATTTTGATACGTCAAATGTCTTTCACGATGCTATCAAGGGAAAGGATGAGAATGGCAATGATGTCTATCTTATTCCATGTCCTACTGGTACGACAAATGTCGAACTTCAAGCCGACTGGCACTATGCTAGTGAAGATGAAGATTTGCCTGATCTTGCTACTGAAGCAGATCGAGGTCTGCAGTTTATTCAAAGCCGCAGAAAGGAAAGAGATCCATTTGGGTTGTA